TAGAAAATAATAATTAATTATTATTAATAATTAATTTCTTGTTAATAATATACTAATAGCATAAGAGATTTTTCTTCATCGTTAGTTTTTGCTGTCACACCATAGGACACATTTACGGTATATTTGTCAACTACCCATATGTAGTCATATTTTTACTAATACAAGAATTGTCAAAAATTGTTTAATATATAAAAGTATTATAAGTATTAAAATGACAAACTAAAATAAATGAAAGAAAAGCTGAAATAAAGCAAAAAAAAAAAAAAAAAAATTAAAACGCCAATCAAATAATATTAATAAAACGTTCAATTAGGATAAACTGAATATATAAAAATCAAAGCTAATTACAAATTACAGTATATTATTTATAATATACTTATCATACATATAATTAAATTGCACTATATATAATCCTAAAATAACATTGCTTTGCTGTAAAGGAAATGTGTCAATGCCATTATATCTATATTGTATATATATATATATATATAAAAAGGCACTTAAACCATGCAAAAGATAGAGACACAAAGCATTATTTTAAGAATTTAAAATATTTATTTTCTGAAAGAAAAATATAGTTGTTTACAATGGGATATAATTGAGCTCTTCTGACAGCTGTATATCATCAGAACACGCACTCATGATGGCGGCAGCGATGCCTACACAACCGAAACACATGAGAAACATCCGGGGTAAACAGCAGTTTTACTAGCTTCAAATGCAATGTGGTTAAAAGTAAATAACACTTAAAATCAGCAATATAAACAATTTCTGCTATTAATATACATGTATTCCAAAAAGCAGCTCTGGGAAGGGCTTTTACAGTCCAGTTTTCAGCTTTCCTGTCTTGAAGTTCAGTTTTCCAGTTCAGATGAACACTGATCATTGTCCCTTCACACGAGCAAACCTCAAACATCGCAGCAGTTCGTCTAAATCTAAACCAACAAAACTCGACATGAATTATGAAGAGGCTTGAGACAGACATTGTGCTTCTACAACCATGTACTCCAAAACACTTAAATGACTTTTACCTCATTCATAGTATTGATGGATAAATGCTGTGGTGAAGGAACTCAAACTGTGGATATGTTCTGTTTTGGAATTAATGTTCCATGATATTCCGATGCACGGGATAATGTGAAAAAGTGATTGTCCTTCACAACAAAAAATAGTTTATTTTACAGTTTAACCAAAGCCCAACAAGGACACACTGCTATTGTTTTAGGCACCAGTCAGAACTGAATAAAGAGTGACTCTTACCAAAAACACTTCTGATCATATTTCAACCCAAAATCAAAAGAAAAAATATATTAATAAATTTTATACTGTAGCATATTCTGGGACAATTAAACTATTCTGCCTTTTCCCCATAACAATTAAGCAACTATTTGCCCTCAAATTCTCATTACTATCATGTGAAAGAAATCTCATCCTCATTACTGAAATTCAGTAATACTTCGTCCTTTCTGCAAACAATAAATTAAATTCAGTACAACAAACACTTTCAATTGCACTTTGCAAATTTATTTTATTTCTTAAATTGCATTGCTTTTTTCTTTTGATTTTTGTAGTGAAATATGACCTGGAAGTTTCTCAAAAGTTTCTGTGAAAATCACCCATGGCAAAATTTGGCTCCACAAAAATGGGATACTTTCAAAAAATTGCAAATGACTCTCACAATAATTCATATAAATCTAAAATAAATCACACCAAGCTTTTGTTTGAACGGGAAGCTGCAGGTACGTTCGGGGTTGAAAGCAATAGTTCGCTAAAAATGAAGATTTGCTGAAAATGTACTCCCCTCAGGCCACCCAAGATCAGGATGAGTTTGTTTCTTCATCAGATTTGGAGAAATGTAGCATTGCATCAGTGTCTCAGCAATGGATGCTCTGCAGTGAATGGGTGCCGTCAGAATGAGAGTCCAAACAGCTGATAAAAACATCACAATAATCCACAAGTAATCCACACCACTCCAGTCCATCAGTTAACATCTTGTACAGTGAAAAGCTGCGTGTTTGTAAGAAACAAATCCATCTTTAAGTCCATAATAACGCTTTTTCTAGTTATAAAAAAAATATCTATATATCTATATCTAAATATCTATATATATAAGACATCTGAATCCGTAGAGAAATCTGCACAGATCAAGCACCGTTTACAAGCCAAAACGGCACTACAGGAGATGGACTTTTAAGCGTTATTATGGATTTTGGCCAGGAGGTGACCGTTTAAAATGTCATAATGATGGATTTGTTTCTTACAAACACATAGCTTTTTTCTTCTCAAGATGTTAACTGATGGACTGGAGTGCTGTGGATTATTGTGAAGTTTTTATCAGCTGTTTGGACTCTCATTCTGACGGCACCCATTCACTGCAGAG